TATATTAGTGCTTAAATAATTCAAAATAAAAGAATAAATAAATAAATGATAAATTCTTCAAATATAATAATAATATCATTAACTGGAAAATTTAAAACCCGTCTAATGAATAAATAATTAATAGATAAATAGATAAATACAGATCAGTAAAATAATAATAATAATAATAATATATTTATTTTAATAAAATATGCCATCAGGAATTTCCAGCTCAATTTGTTCTTTCGAATGAAGATTTGGATTATTATATACTTCGTCATCATCTGTAAAAAATAAATAAATAGTAAAATTAATAACAATATAGAATTGAAATTTTCTGCAAACTTTTCGCTTACCATCAATATCATCAATACTTTGTCTTTTCATTTTTTGTTGAATTATTTCTTTTTCATCATCTAAATTTTAAATAAAAGCCGTATTTAATAAATGAAATTGATATAATAATCGGTTTATTTATTACTATTTTTATATGCAACTTTTAAATAATTTAGATAACCTTTTATTACTATCTAAAAGTTAAAATATGGGTTTAATAAATGATTCAATCCCAAATTTAATAATAACTTAAATATATTACCTTTAAAAATATTAATTATTTTTGACGATTTGTTACTATTCTGCTTATTAGACTCAAATGAGATTGAGATCGTTAACACTCGCGTCAGCTTTGGATTCCAATCCGATGCCTACTATGATTAATGAAACCCAGCAGGAAACTTCGGACGATTAGATTACGTTTTTAATAAATTTTTTTATTTAGTATGATGAATTTATTTGTGATGAATGAATTATATAATGGGAAAATTTTATTTTATTTTATTTTTTATTTGTAAATTTATTATAATAAAAAAAAAATATGACGTAAATTTTCAATCAAAATTTAATTGATTAAATCAATACATTTAATTGAATAAATAAAAAAAAAAAATAATATAAATAATTCTTTATTAAAAAAACAAAATTTCAAGCCAAAATTCTTGATACCCTTATTAAAAAAAAACTATTTTCAATAAAATTTTCTATTGAGACTTCTAACAAAATTCTCCATCAAAAAAAATAAAAAAACTTTTCAACCAACAATTCTCTAATGAAATTCTCAATCAAAAAAAATATCCCTGATTAAGAAAAATTCCTAACGAAAATCTTCCATCAAAAAACACATTTTCCCTATTAAAAAAAAAATTTACCTATTAAAAAAAATTCTCAAAAGAATTTCTATCAAAAAAAAACTTTCCTCCTATTAAAAAAAAAATTCTCTACCGGAATTTTCTATCAAAAAAAAAAAAAATCTTACCTATTAAAAAAAATTCTATGATGAAATTTCTATCAAAAAAAAAATTCTCTAATAAATTCTCTGTCAAAAAATACTTTCACCTATTAAAAAAAATTCTCCAAAGAATTTTTTACAAAATACCCAATGAATTCTCTATCGAAAAAAAAAATCCTGTTAAAAAATTGGTCCAACAAATCAGGTATGTCCAAAAAAAAATCTTATTAAAAAAAAAATTCTCCAATGAAATTTAAATTTAATAAAATTATCCATCGAAAAAAAAACTCAGAAATGTCCCTATCAATAAAAAAATGCTCTGACAATATTTTTTATCAAAAAAAGTCTTTTTATTAAAAAAAATTCCAAAAGAATTTTATCAAAAAAAGCCTTTGCCTATAATAAAAATTCTCTATAAAAATTGTTTTATTAAAAAAAAAGCCAATAAAATAAAAAAAAAATACTTCATGTAAAAACTATGCTAAACTTAAAAAACGTGATTAACAAAATATCACCCCTGTGCTGACAAAGAAACTAATTTTTGACAAGATAAAATTAATCAAATACAGTTGGACAAAAACATCAACTACAGATAGATAAAACCTCAAGCACGGACAGATAAAAATACCAAGCACGAACAGATAAAATCATCAAGCATCTAGATAAACATCAGATAAAAATATCAAGCACGTGACAGATTAAAATCAAGCATAAACAGGTAAAATGTCAGACACGGGGTGAAGCCATGCTTGATATTTTATCACACAATTTTGTTCAACTCGGCTTGCCATATACTTTGCAAGTGTTTTGATGATCGTTTAACCGGGAGTCTATGGGGCACTTTATTTTAAAAAATATAAAAAAAATTGTAACACTATATTTCAGAGAGTACGACAGATTACCGAATAGGAAAAGACTATTGTCTGTTTTTTACTCTACGATAAAAAAATGAAAAGTTTTGCAATAATAATATTTACCACGTTTAAATACACCTTATGGTTCTGCATCTGTGTAAACAATTAATTAAAATTATTACTATAAGAAATTAATTTACTAAAAAGGAAAAGTTTTGCACCAATATTTACTACTTGCTAAAACAATAGTGAAGATGAAAATCAACAAGTATTTTAATTGCATGATCGATTTTGTGTATTTTATATATAATTTTTAATTCGTTGTTTGTTAAATTGTTTAGAAAATTCTCTCCTCTTTCTCAAAGTATTTATATAAGAAAAATTTCTATAGTAGCATGTATCTCAAATGATTACATGATTACATTATTATTAATGAAGTGAAGCAAATGAGACGTACAAAAATATTTTTGCCATGTTTTTCTATAGTAAGTATTACGTCATTGTTAAAATTCACAATTGAAGAGCAAAGCCATTTTAAATTAGATAATTTGAAAATGCGAGATTTTGATTATCTTAAACTGCAGTCTATAGATTGCGAAGTAAATGAGGTGTATAAGAATTTTGCCCAATAAAATAATTTAGACATATTTTATAATTTATTGTGTCAAATTCTAAAAAAAGGACCACTTATTTTATTGTGGTAGAAGTATATCCCAAATTTATTCTGAAATTAATAAAATTAACCAATATCTGATTTAAAAAATATAAATACTGTATTGCATTAAGTATTTATTTTAAAACCACTTTTATAATAATTGACATATAAAGAAATTGTTTATAAGTACCCATTGAAACAATAGTAAAGACAAAAATCAATAATAAATAATTTAATTTCATGATTAATTTTTTGTGTGTGATATATGATTTTAATTCATTGTTTGTTAACTTATTTTTAAAATAATTTTCTCTCCTTTTAAAGTGTTTATATAAAAAAAAATTTCTATAGTAATACGTATTTTTAAATTACTACATTTTTCATATTATTACTAAGAGCACAAGAGTATTTTTGTCACATTTTTATTGCGCCATGTTAAAATTTATGATTGAAAAGCAGAGCCACTTTACTTTTGCCACTTTTTTTGTATTAAAAACTTGAATCTTGAATTAACAACTTGAAACTAGAGGAATCTGATGTGCAGCAACTTCGTTGCCACTAGTGATTGATATTGAAGTACTTAACACTATATTTCTATATTTCTATATTTTAATTTATATTTACATTTTAAATAAAATTGCTTGAATTACATAATTTTGGATTTAGGTATTCCTATATAATATATAGTAGCATAATAAATTTCAATTATAACTTTAGTTAATATGTTTTAATATACAGTAGAATTAATATTTGAAAGGGAATTTGGTTTATTAAAATTTCTATTTTGAATTATTTAATAATTTAAAATTTGTTTAATAAATATTCTCTTGGCATTTCTTATATTTTTTTTTTTTATCTTTAAAAATAATTTTTTGAAAAAAAAAGTTTTCATTTAAAAAAAAATTCTTTTTATTTTAAACCAAAGGGAGTGATCTAAAGATAAAAAATTAAATAGTAATTAATAAATAATCTAATTAATCAATCAATAAATAAGAAAATAAACTAAGAAAAATATATTTTTATTTAATATTTAACATTTGGCTCGATAATTAGTGGTAGTCAAATTATCGGCTAAAACACATTTTTTTTAATAGAAAAAATAAAAAATCAAAAAATTCTTTTAAATAACCAATTTTTCTTTAATATTCTGTTTTAAAAAATATTAGTTTTATTTGATTGGTTCGGATTTATCATAAGAATTAGTACGATAAACAAAATTTAACATAAAAGACATAATTGATGCATGTTTTTGAAATACAATTAGATTACAAATGAAAGACTGGCAAAAAAGTCTTTTAATAGTTTAGATATAATTAATGTGTCAAATATGTATTTTTTCTATTTATTTCCTAAAACTTCACAATTTCAAAATGAAAGGAAAGAATATAAGAATACTTCTTGGCTTATATTTTTCTATTTCATGTAAGTTGGTTTAAATTTTGTGATATTTGGCATTGCTTATAATTGTTTTTTTTTTAATAATGATTTTTGGTTTTTGACATGTTGCTAGTTGTTATTAGTAGAATAAATGAATAATAGATATTATATATATATATATATATTTTTATTTATTCTAGATATTTAATAATATTTTACTATTTATTTAATTATTTCAAATTCGATAAGATATTTTTTTTTTACAATTTCACGACCAAATATTGATTAAAAGTTTCATGATATATTTTCGATATGGTCAATATTTGGTTTCAATTTTAAAAGTTTCTGTAAAGTATAATTGCTTTTTTGGAGGATTAAGGAAGAGGCTTGTGAAGAAGAACTCACTGTCATTTTCATAGAACTGTCTGTAAAACAAAATTGATAGAAGGATATTTTCCGGTTAGGTTTGGCCAGAGTTATGCAGAGCTATGTACGAAAATGTGATCAAACAGATCAAATGGCTAGTGTTAGGCTGTTGGTCTATACATTACCATTGGAAATGGTTTTATATTATTATTTTGATAATTTATATCTCATAATTGAAAAAGTTATAAAAAAAAGATTTATTTAAATTACAAACTAAGAACCTGTAAAATATTTTACTACTCTAGTCTTAGTGTTTAAATAATTATAAGTATAATAAAAAAAAAAAGNTGTAAAATATTTTACTACTCTAGTCTTAGTGTTTAAATAATTATAAGTATAATAAAAAAAAAAAAGGGAATTATTTAAATTACAAACTAAGAAACTCATAAAATATTTTCCTACTCTAGTCTTAGACTCTTAGTGTTTAAATAAATCTAAAAAGAATAAAATAAAGAACAATTTCTTTTAAATGTATAATATCAAATATCACTTAAAAAAAACTATAAATTTTTTTTAAAAACAAACAATGACTAGTTTTTTTCATCTGTTTTAATATCTAAGTTAAATATTAAATAAAATTAATTTCACATAAATAATTTGCAAGATTAATTTTTTATATATCATGATACATACCTAATGACCCCAAATCCTTAATTATAAAATCATTCAAATCTTCACTTTCAATAATTTCATTCAATTTTTTACTAGTAAAATTAAGTAAGCGACTTGTATAACATGCTTTAGGATGAGGTTGAGTAACAAGATTGTTATACTGCCCAATTGGTGCATTTATAAATTCCATAATGTTGCTTTTTAATTCATCATTGACTTCATCATCTTCATCAGGACGGAGAATCCATTTTTTAATAACATCCTTCACTTCTGATGTAGATGGTCTTTTTAATGGATCTTCATTCCAACATTTTTTCATTAAATCTACATAGCATTGTGGAGTATTTTCAATAATTTCAGGACGTTCACCTTTACAAATACTTAAACTAAGATGAAGATCATGTTCTCTATTATTAAATGGTGGTATTCCAGATGTAAACTCCCACATAATCATAGAAAAACTATATATATCACTAGCTGGAATATAAGATTTGCCTCTTAAAACTTCAGGAGCCATAAATGGTATAACACCATAAATATCATACTTTTTCAAACCCGATTTTACAGGTTGACATAATCCTAAATCACTAATATATAATATACTCTCATTATGATTTAAAATATTACCATCATGAAAATCACAATGAATAAGATTTTTTTCATGTATCTTACTAAGTCCAGAAATAATTCTGTACAACATACATAATTTTTGATTCCAATTATTTTTGACTATTCTTGTTAAATTTTCTCTTAAATTACCATTATTTGCATAAGCCATTACTACTATATATTTTGAAATCTCTGGATCTTTTGTAAATCCATAAAAATTTACAATTTCATGTGATGAATTTAAACAATTCTTATGATAGTCCCACTACAAAAATTAATAATAATTTATTAATATAAATTATAAAAATAAAAAAATAATATACTATCAATCTATCATACTTCTTTCAAAAATCATTTAAATTTTCATTTAAATTCTTGTGACATTTAAAAATTACTTCTTTTTCATCTTTATTATTCTTTAACCAAATAGCTTTGTATATAGTACCAAATCCTCCTTCATTAAGATATTCAACATTTTTAAATCGGTTATAAGGAATCCATCTTAATTTTTTTTTTAAAATAAAATCATCTATAATTGTATTTCCACTTTTCCCAAATCTATAAATTTTAATAATTAAAATTATATTATAGATTATATTATAATTTACACTAAAATAAATTATTACTTACTCTAAAATTTAAATAGAAATTTAATGTAATATAAGTCTTAGTCTTTGGATAAATACATAATAACTTATAATTTATAACTTACCAACTAAAGTAACAGATAATTTTTTGAATAAAAGAATTCAATTAACAAATAAATATTATATAAATATATAACAATAGAGGTACTTACAAGCTAGATCATAATAATTTTTTAAATAAAGAAATTAGATAGTTTAAATTATATGTAAATATTATAACAATAAGTAATAATAGAATTAAATAAATAACTTACTCGCTATATTATTTAATAATTTTTTAAATAAAGAAATTAGATAGTTTAAATTATATGTAAATATTATAACAATAAGTAATAATAGAATTAAATAAATAACTTACTCGCTATATTATTTAATAATTTTTTAAATAAAGAAATTAGATAGTTTAAATTATATGTAAATATTATAACAATAAGTAATAATAGAATTAAATAAATAACTTACTCGCTATATTATTTAATAATTTTTTAAATAAAGAAATTAGATAGTTTAAATTATATGTAAATATTATAACAATAAGTAATAATAGAATTAAATAAATAACTTACTCGCTATATTATTTAATAATTTTTTAAATAAAGAAATTAGATAGTTTAAATTATATGTAAATATTATAACAATAAGTAATAATAGAATTAAATAAATAACTTACTCGCTATATTATTTAATAATTTTTTAAATAAAGAAATTAGATAGTTTAAATTATATGTAAATATTATAACAATAAGTAATAATAGAATTAAATAAATAACTTACTCGCTATATTATTTAATAATTTTTTAAATAAAGAAATTAGATAGTTTAAATTATATGTAAATATTATAACAATAAGTAATAATAGAATTAAATAAATAACTTACTCGCTATATTATTTAATAATTTTTTAAATAAAGAAATTAGATAGTTTAAATTATATGTAAATATTATAACAATAAGTAATAATAGAATTAAATAAATAACTTACTCGCTATATTATTTAATAATTTTTTAAATAAAGAAATTAGATAGTTTAAATTATATGTAAATATTATAACAATAAGTAATAATAGAATTAAATAAATAACTTACTCGCTATATTATTTAATAATTTTTTAAATAAAGAAATTAGATAGTTTAAATTATATGTAAATATTATAACAATAAGTAATAATAGAATTAAATAAATAACTTACTCGCTATATTATTTAATAATTTTTTAAATAAAGAAATTAGATAGTTTAAATTATATGTAAATATTATAACAATAAGTAATAATAGAATTAAATAAATAACTTACTCGCTATATTATTTAATAATTTTTTAAATAAAGAAATTAGATAGTTTAAATTATATGTAAATATTATAACAATAAGTAATAATAGAATTAAATAAATAACTTACTCGCTATATTATTTAATAATTTTTTAAATAAAGAAATTAGATAGTTTAAATTATATGTAAATATTATAACAATAAGTAATAATAGAATTAAATAAATAACTTACTCGCTATATTATTTAATAATTTTTTAAATAAAGAAATTAGATAGTTTAAATTATATGTAAATATTATAACAATAAGTAATAATAGAATTAAATAAATAACTTACTCGCTATATTATTTAATAATTTTTTAAATAAAGAAATTAGATAGTTTAAATTATATGTAAATATTATAACAATAAGTAATAATAGAATTAAATAAATAACTTACTCGCTATATTATTTAATAATTTTTTAAATAAAGAAATTAGATAGTTTAAATTATATGTAAATATTATAACAATAAGTAATAATAGAATTAAATAAATAACTTACTCGCTATATTATTTAATAATTTTTTAAATAAAGAAATTAGATAGTTTAAATTATATGTAAATATTATAACAATAAGTAATAATAGAATTAAATAAATAACTTACTCGCTATATTATTTAATAATTTTTTAAATAAAGAAATTAGATAGTTTAAATTATATGTAAATATTATAACAATAAGTAATAATAGAATTAAATAAATAACTTACTCGCTATATTATTTAATAATTTTTTAAATAAAGAAATTAGATAGTTTAAATTATATGTAAATATTATAACATTAAGTAATAATAGAATTAAATAAATAACTTACCATCTACGAAATAATTTTTTAAATAAAGAAATTAAGTTTAAATTATATAAATAATACAAATATAGATATCATATAACTTACACCCTGTAGTATTATTAATTATTAATTAGTTAAATATAAAGATAATATAAAAGCATTTACTGTAAATTATATATAGTTACTTACAATCTAGTTATTTAAATAAAGAATGTAATTAGTTGAATTATATAAGATATTAAACATGAATTGTTTATAAATAAAAAAATATTTCAGCTACCTTCAATACATTGGTCCATTACTATATCAAAATTCTCAAATTCTCCCCAACTGGAAAAGATAAAGTAAATATTTTTATTTATTTATTTCTTTTTTTTTATTATTGAGCGCCTTTATTAGTATGAATAAATGTAATAATATTTATGCAAAATACATTATGTGCAAAAGCGTTGATTACAAGTACAAGCATTGCATCATTGCATATATGACAAACAAACTGGAATGTAGATCAATTATTACAAAATCGCAGTAACTGATTAATCATTTCATCTTAGGTAATTACTAAGCACCAATGAAATGATTATCATTCATTTTTACTTTATCACAATTTTGTCGATTATTTGTCAATTATTTATTTAATTTTATCACTCCGCTTATAATTACTTTGGTAGATACGGAAATTAAATTGTACGATTATATTTATGTATCAAATACAGTAGTTTGATTTATATTACATTTTTTGTTAATAGAACGTTAAAAATTATCTTCATATTATTAGAAACATTGATTATGAACAAATAGAATTAACAATTAAGTGACATTTCAGCATTTCGTCAATGACGTAGTAAACATAGCGACAAATTCATGTAATTCCACTTTTTTCCAAAATATAAAACGTGAGGGTCATGAACTTGGTTCATAGTATCACATGATCTGAAACTGCGGCCAATTAATTTCTATTCAGGACGAGAAATCGAGAATAGGGAATTAGTGATTGTGATCTATGTGTTTATAATTAACAATATTATACTGACTGTATGTGATTTTTCTTTAAATAATAAGTCGATGTACTAACATCACTAAGGTTAAATATGTAATCTCACCGATGAGCTTTTAGCAACTGAATTGCTAAAATAAAATTTGTTAAATACAAACTTTAATTATTCGGCTAATAATAAATACTACAAATTTAATTTGAAATAATAAGAGTTTTAAGTAGAATTAAATAAAAGGTTACATCAGGTGATTCAGGTGATATAGCGTATCTATTGCATGATAATGAGATTAGTATAGCAGAATAGCAAGTTTGATTTAAGCATAATTATCATATTGAATTTTTAGTTATCCTTAATAGATTCACTAAGATTGTTCGATGTCAATTCCTAAGAGAACTTTTGTGTTAATATTTTTACTCCCATTTCATTTATAGTATGATTTTTGATTAAATTGAATCATTTTCTGCACAAAGAATTTTTGTAAGAAAATTAAATTCAAAATTTTTTATTATTCTTTAAAATGTGTTTGATTAAGTATCGCATGATTAAGCTTTTAATGAGTATAAAATATATATACTATTACTCAATAATAACCCTAGATATCACAATCGTCAAAGCTGTTAAATCTTATTTTATCATCAGACATCTATTTTCCTTGGTAAAGAGTATCAAAAAAAATGGATTAGATAAGTGAATCATTAAAATGATAATATTTAATAGACAAAATTTATATCTTTTCTGTTATTTTCTCTCCTTGTATTGTCATTGTTATCATTTTATTATTTTTTAGATAAAAGTGAGGGAAAAGCTAATCAGAATTATTCTTCTGGCTTTCAACTAGAACATTAGATATATTGATGATAATCTCATTCGGCTCCTATTTGATAGGAGATCTAACGTACTTAGATATTCTTGTAATTTTATTTCGGATTTAGTTAAAGCGCGAATTGAAAGATTATATAAAATATTTGAGAAGGAAAATTAATTTGCAATAGACAAATAAAGCGGAAAGCAATTTGAATACTTTTCCAATTTCACAATAATTAAATGGTAAAATTTTGTTTCTGCTGTGTCTATTTTTAATATGGAAACTAATATTATTAATCTTCTCAGTTGCTATCAAAACTATTTTAAGCGTAGGAAATTACTTTTAAATTTTATTAATTAACAATCGTTGAATAAGTTTAAATATTAAATAAATGTCTTATTATTTGTTTGTAACTATTTCAATCTCATACACTAGAGTCTAGTGATTGTCGACTTGACTGGAATTAAATGATAAACGGCGAATTTTAGTTTCGGCCGATTGTTGCAATTATATACTGTACACGAGTTTAGCAAACTATTAAATGAATTATAAATGAAGGTTGAAAAATTTTATTATTCCAAAAAAAAAAAAAAAATTATATAATGCAAGTAAAATTTTATTAATTAACTAGGGTAATTTGGTATTGTTAGTGAGTTATAATATAATTATTGCATTATTCAGTAATTATTTATATATATTTTAAGTAATATAATAGGGTTTATATTAAAAAGTTGATTTGTATTTTGTATTTTTATCAAATAATAAATTTTATGGTTTATTTTGAGTTTATTAGTTTTATTAAAGAAATATTATATTTAATGATCAAAATGAATTGATCCTGTAACATGTTAAGTGATAATAATATAAAGATAAATATAAATATAATAGTTTGTATTAATTTTAGTAAAATATTAGATATGATGATAATGTTAAGTATAGTGATTTAAAAAA